CCCGGCCGCCGTTGTCCAGGTTACCGGCGGGAGGGCGCCGTGGCCGCTGCGCTCGACCTTGGGCCTGGCCCCAAAGCCCGTTTTTTCTCGCAGGACTCAGCCCACCGCAGCCCCAGTCCTTCTTGGGCCCCATCTCTTCGGCCAGGGCTTCTGCTGGGTCCTTGTTAGGCCTCATATCCCTCAGCCTAAGGCAGGATCCCCATCTTCTCACAGGCCCCCGGCTTGGACCCACCCTCATCGACCTGCTCCCCTCAGGGCTCTCACCTCATCCTTGGTAAGAGCTGATCTTTGCTGCAGGGTCCCATTTTTCTCAGCGCAAAGTTGAGGTATAACCCACTGACTATTCCCATGCAGGTTTTCCCTCACAGGTGTCCTGCATCTGTGCTGGCTGCCCTCAACCTCAGGGCCTGAAATAAAGTACAGGTGTGTGAAAAAAAAACACCCGCTGCAATTCCCTGTCGATGTCCGAGGGATCAGCTCTTATTTAAGTACAACCTGGGCTCTACATCTTGCTTAATTAGGAAAAGAAGGTGAATCTTAAGGAAGAAAATAATTTTCCAAAAGTTGTTCCATACAATAGGATGCTAATATTAGAGTAAGGAGTTGTGGGAAGGGCTCCCAAAGATTTATGGGTCTTTGGCACATCTTGAAGCATGCTACAGTGCTGTGGAACCAGGAATGTAAGTGTGAATAGTTTAAAAGTTACTGTAATGAACTTTATATTGGAAATGTTGTGTAGGCTTTCTGGAAGTCATTCTCCAGAAGCCTTGTGAAAAAATATAGAGTGTTTTTTAAGTAATAATGTCCTTATTCACACTTGGTAAGGCAATTTTTAGCTGTGATTACTTGTTTTGATTTCTTCAAGTTCTGACAGTTTTCTTTATCAGCTTGGAGAGGAGGAGGCTCTACGGCTTTATAAAATTGGAAGTTCTTGAACAAGTCAGACTAAAGCAACAAATAGAAGTCAAAACTCTCTGAAGTTGTCATAGAATCACAGAATAGTTTGAGTTGGAAGGGACCTTAAAGATGGTCTAGTCCCACCCCCCTGCCATGGGTAGGGACACCTACTAGCCCAGATTGCCCAAAGCCCCGTCCAACCTGGCCTTGAACCTTTCCAGGGAGGGGGCAGCCACAGATTCTCTGGGTAACCTCTGCCAGTGTCTCCCCACCTTCACAGGGAAGAATTTATTCTTTACATCTAATTTAAATTTACCCTCTTTCAGTTTAAAACCATTACCCCTCACCCTATCCCTCTACTCCTTGATAGAGTTTCTCCCCCTTTAAGTACTGGGAGGCTGCTATAAGGTCTCTATAAGATACTGTTTGTGGTCTTTCATTTATCTTAAAAGTACAACTGGTTTTGATCTAGAGCAATGATGAAAGATTTTTCCTGTATTTGGTTTAGTTCAACTCCTTTGCATATCATGGAACATTCACAATTGCTTATTATTTGTATTTAGTTGAAAAATCTTTTTTAAAAACTCTTTTGGAAGGCATGTGGTTAAACTAAGGCCTTGCAGATTCGTGAGGTTTCCCTGGAGAAGACAGTTCATGTTCTGTAAATGGAGCCTCCTTTTCTCTTCCTCCCCCTGCAATCTATTCAAATCAGTTTGTATTGCTGCATAGTCGGTATCAAAAATAGAACCATGCATCAAGTTACTTATAAAAATACCAACAGGATCTAGCAGTTTTTTCCCTGACCGGATAAAGAAGTGTTTTCTAAAACCACTGACCCAGTGGTACGTCCCAATGTGCCAGCTCCACCCTCCCATTTCCAAACAGCTCTGGAAAATATCAGGAGGGGAAAGATATTTGAAGCCTCCCGATAATTCTTTAATTTTTTTTTCCCCCAAAATTAAATTCCAGAAATCAGTATTTAAATACAACCCAGAAATGTGGTCTTCTCTTTGGCAAAAACAAATACCCGGTGCAGGCCAATGTGTAGTCTCACTTCACACTTACTCATTTTCAGCCTGTTAGGCTCACTGGAAAGCGCCGTTTCTTGGGGGATGGAGGAAGCAGTGGTGAGCTGTTGGACTTATAAGGCGCTTCATAAAGGGTCGCATAGCTGTGTAATGGGTCTCAATGTATTTTGACAGCCTTGCGTCAGGAACCTGGTGTGTTAAACCCTGTCTAAGGAGATGGAATGGTTCAGTGTAATTGTTTTGAACGTCCAGCTTCCTTCTGAGAAATCAGTCTGCTGCTTTTAAATGCCAGAGTCACTGAGTGATCCGAGGGGGCTCTGGAAAACGTTATCCGTTAAGGATCTAGAGCACATTCTCTGCACCCCTTCCCCACCCCAGGGAAAAATTAAGGCAGGAGGGAATGTGTCCAAAGACAGCCTCTTCTCTCTATTGCTATAGTTACTTGGCAATTAGACCCTCTCAGTGTAATATTGAGTATTTATTATTATATGACTCCAAGGTGATGTTTAGAATATGTGGTTTTGAAAAACCTTTTTTATATTTTACAGCCCAGCATGTGCTGTCCCAGGGTTCCTTCCCTCCCTTCTCCCCCTCACACTCTCTTCTCCTTTCTTTCCAGTAAATAAATACATCAAAAAATAGAGGAGGCTGAAATGAAGCCAGAAGGCTTTAAAAAAATCCCTGCCTTTCTGTGATGGAAGTCAACTTTTAGTAAGTTCAGACCTTGTTTCACCAGTTTTCTTAACTATATACCTAACGAGCTGTGTATTAAACTCGTAAGACTACTCACAGACTAAAAGTTAGGCATTCACTTAATAAACTGCTGGTTAGTTTTTCAACAGATGGCTAACAAACAAGCTAGAGGCAGAACTGGGAATCTTAGTTGAATAAATATCACTATTATTCTTCAAAATTGCTATTTCTCTTGTCTAGTGGAAGAAGCCATGCAGAGGGCACGTTTGTACACGCATGTGGAGGTGAGGAGCTTCTCTGAGGCTGCTCCAGCCAGAATTTGAAGCCCCTTTTCAATGTAACAGACTTTCTTTTCTTTAACTGTCACACTGAGCTTTTGCATAGTGCAGTATAGGGTGATTCATCCTCACCCCAATAGTTTTTGTTTTAAAACTTCCAAGTGAGTTTTTTTATATCGTGATCCTTCCACAGGATGAGTGTATCCCCTCTTACCCTGTTTTTTTCAAATAATCCTATAGCGTCCCTCCTATCAATCACCACTGCATACTGATAGGCTCTTGATCTCCTCTTTTCCAAAGAATGCCCACCTAAGTTCTCCCATAGCTTTAAATAACATAAATTGCCTCCCACACACACTTTTTTTTTTTTCTGCCAAGAGTAGCAGTGATCTGCATAGGAAGACAGCAGTGTAGGAGTTATCTGCTTGAAATGGTTGACACAGCTTTGGTAGTGGGCCCCCACTTTGCTGTATGTACTTCCAGGATTCCTCTTTCATGTTACAGAGAGAATCAGACCCGGGCAGGGAACTTCAACTCTCGGTCTCCACTCCAGTTTGTTGGGTTTTTTTCCTCACAGATACAAGCTGCATTCACCAGCAGATACTGATGCTTATTTTTCTCTTTGAAAGCCTTCTTGCTATCCAAGCAACAACAAAAAAAGTCTAAGTCCGAAGTCGGAGGAAAAAGAAACCCGTCCTCAGCAGGACTTTGCCCTAAAATGGGAAAAGTGCCAGATACTCCATTAAGTCTACTTTGCTATTCTTATTGATTTTATGTGGAAGGCAGTTGGATACTGTGGGGACGAACAATAGTCTAAAGGCTGAGGTAGACTTGCATTAGGAGAGACAGCTTGTGATGCCGAGTGAGGTAGCATTCAGTCTTTTCATGGTGATCACGTTCACGCTTAATAAGCAAGTCCATTTCGTGTCTGTGCTAATGTATTTTCATGCCAGTTTTGCAAAGCTGATGTAATGTTATATTCAGTAGCGTGGTACTGCTGGTTACAGTTGTCAGGTACGGCTGATTGAAGTGGAACTTTGAAAAATGGAACAAGATGTGTCACAGCTCGTTGTGCTAATTCTGCTTTAAGCTGCTTTTGCCGTGAATATGAAGTTTGCCCCAAAAATCTCTGGAAGAAAGGACTTGCATGGAAAGAGTGATCTGAGTTTTTGCTAACTCTTTCTGTTACAGGCATAGCACTGCTACGACATTTCTTGTCTTTATTTGATGTGTATTATTTTGTGATAATTTTTTAGTTTAGTAGTAGAAATAGAAAAAGAATTAATGCACTGTATTGATAGAGGTTTTCTAATGAATAAGTCTGCAGAAGAGTGCTATTTTTCAGCTCTTTAAGTGTGTTTTTCCATTCGTCCTGGCTAATTCTATACAGATTTTAACTAGTGAACCGTGACTATTGTATTAAGAAAGAATCCAGGCCCTTACAATTCTTTTGGCTGGTATATTAGCAAGCTTCAAGTGAAGTGCAACGTGTCAAGGAAAAAGTAAGGGAATGGAAAGTTTTGTTTCTTTCTGGTGCATTCAATCAGTTTCTCCTTGATTGTTTTTTAATGACAGGCTGCAGACATTATAACTACAGTTAATGACCAAGTTTGACAAGAATGTTCTCAATAGTCTCTTTGCCCAGGCTAAAGACATTTCTGAAAGCTCCTGTCTATCAGGCTTTCTGTGCTGAAAATACAAAGTTAAAAGAGCAGTCTCAAGCACAGAAATAAACATCATCCTACAATATGCAACTAAGTGGAACGAGCTGGAA